ATTAAATTTAATATTTCCGTCATTTTTTTGTGCGATGTAAATAATCCTAGCTCATACTAGATCCAGACATGTACTTTTTCGAATGCCGTTGGAATTTTTGGAATCGGACGTCTCAGTGCACGCCATCGTAAAAATTAACTTTCTTCAATTACAACGACTACAAATCAAAAACATCCTTTCAGTCTTCAAGAAATTATATAAAAAAATTGCAAGTCTTCAATGTAATGCATGTCCACTTTCCAGCCGGTTTAAAATCACTGAAATGTTGATAATTTTTGGTAAGGACATTTTCTACTCAATGAGAATCCATAATATTAAATTGCTCTGAAATTTGTTTAATCACGTGCTTAAGATCCCCTAAATATCGATTTTTGGATTGGTACACCTAAAAGAGGAGGTATTTGCTATACCAACAATCCTAGGAGTAAGTGCAAAATTTAAAAGTTCTCTCTCAGATATTGAGGATTTGAACAGACAGACGGACACGCATAAATCGACATAGAATTTTGTTCTAATCAAGAATGTACAGTTAATCACAAAAGTAAGTGTACAGGAGCATACATATATTTTGTGTTAAGAAATAAAACCAAAAGTACTAGTAAAAGTTATTCATTCATACATAAATTTTTTGATTACTTTATGTAATTTAAGAAAAAAATAAAGCTTTGGATATAAACATAAAATTAAGTGAAATATTAAAGTAAACATTAATTAAGTACGTATACACAAAAGAAAGTACACATTTCAAACTATGCTGCTATGTTTCTAATCATGGTATAATAATAGAAGGTAACAGCAAGTGCAAGGTATATTAATAAGGTATTATAACCGTATCAGGCCAGCTGGTGGTAATATTATCACAACAATTAGTTTTTCTTGAATTCGCCGAAAAAAAATAATTAAAATAAAATTAAAAATGAAAATTGAAGAAGACAATTTCTGAAGAAACAAAACATATAGGTTATGAATAGGATACCTTCACATGAACTTCTTTAGGAAGATCTTTTACTACTACACGAGAAGAGCATTTTGGATTTGTATAAGAATCTATTATCTTGGGACTTTCTATAACGATTTGATGGCGTATTTCACGTAAAAATCTCCTCTTTATATGCCGTATAATAAACGTTATCAATAATCAAAAGGCGAAGCCTTAATCTTCGAATGAGCCCTTCAAAATAGAAAACACATCTGATAAGGATATTGATCAAGGAAACCAGAACTGCATTCTTGAATTTCATTGTTAAACATTGTTAGAATTCAGTTTCTTCAATTTGACATTTTGTTTTCTTATTGGATGCAAATTTGCAAAACTTTCTATGTTCGCTTCCATGTAATGATACGTCCCAATTTCAATAATTTGGTTGTAATTCCGAACCTTAGATTTCCACATACAGTGAGCAAAAAAACAACTTGTACACCTTTTAAAATAAATAAAAGTTTTTTAAAATTGTAATTATTTTAACAATATGGGACAATATTGTATATCCAAATTAAAGGAAATATTCTCTCTTTCTAAATGCATATTTGATCATTTATTTTTTATTAAACGCACAGAAGATTTCTCTTATGATAAGAGAAATAACTTTATTTCACGGCAAAAAAATAGTTGTACACTCTTTATGTTGTTGAAAAAAACAACACCGTTATAATTTCTTTGTACAAAAAATGATACATTTGAGTCATAAATCAGTGAACGTGTTTATTTAAGTCAATCTGTTGTTTATTAGTTGGTGATAACAAATGAAAACATGGCGAAAAAACAAATGTCGAAAGATTTAAAAGAAATTATCATAAAATTACATAAGGAAACTAAATCAATACGTGAAATCGCTAAAATAGTGAATAAACCGCATAGTACGGTCCATTATGTTATAAAAACATTAAAAAAAAGGATCTTTGGAAAGACCTAGTGGAGGTGGCCGCCCCAAAAAAATTAACACTGCTCAAGTTGAAAGGAAAATACTTAATTTTGTGAAAAAAGACCCGAAAATTTCCGCTGTTAAAATAGCAAATGAGTTAAAAAAAAATCCGAAATAGTCGATGTAACTCCACAAACTACAAGGAACTTCCTGCACACCCAAAATTTAAAGGCATTCGCAGTTCGTAAGAAACCTCTTCTTTCTTAAACAAATAGAAAAAAACGACTTGCGTATGCCAATGACATTGTAAACAAAATTAATGATTTTTGGGAACAAGTAATTTTCACTGACGAGTCCAAATTTAATATTTTTGGTACCGTTAAATCCACGTAATATTACACATACCATTAATACGGAGGTGGAAATGTAATGGTTTGGGGTTCTATGAGTGCAAATGGAGTAGGTAACCTTGTATTTGTAGAAGGAAACATGAACAAAACAGACTATTTAAATATTTTAAAAAATAATTTGGTCCAATCTGCCGAAAAGATGGGTTTGAAAGATGGTTTTGTATTCGTACAAGACAACGATCCAAAGCACTCGGCCGCTTTAGTAAAGGAATGGTTGATTTACAACACAAAAAAGTTCTTCCTCACCCTAACCTCACCTTAAATCCGATAGAGCCTTTGTGGGCTCACATGAAAACCAAATTGAAGGATTACCATATTTCCGGGAAAGAAATCCTCAAAAATGCTCTAATAGATATATGGAACTCTATTCCCGCCGAAGTAACAAGGAATCTGGTGCATTCAATGCCAAGAAGACTTCAGGCTGTTAACGATGCCAAAGGTCATCATACAAAATACTAAAAAGCTATTTATTTGTTTATTAATTATAGTTATAAGTCTTTTTTCCTGTCTGTACAAGTTTTTTTTTTTTGCCGGGGAATATTGGCATACTTTTGTTTTCGTTTTTGTTTTCTTTTATATGTGATAATCATGAAAATTAATTTAATGTACAATTAAATATGGACCTCAAACTTTATTATTTATATAAAACTATCGTCATACTTTTTACCTTATATTTAAATTTCTTTTAATTTTTCAAGTGTACAAGTTTTTTTTTTTTTTTTTGCTCACTGTATGTTGAGTTTGGTATGCTGAGGTATTACTACCACAGAAAACATATTCAAAATGGGTCCACTTACGATTTGCAAAAAATCACACAAATTTAAAAAAGTAAATAAATATTTTATAAAACTTCACAAATGCTTTGTTCTGATTGGTTGAAAAATAGAAGGCGAGTTCATTTTTATTCGCCTTGATAAAAATTTTGACATATCATGTTCCCGATTCGCCGATGCGGCTACCTTATATATCTACCTTCAGCAAGTGTTTTTGTACAACAAACGATACAACAACCACATGGAGATTTGTTGTTGTAAGTTATACTAGTGTCAACGTCATTTGACAGAAAAATGTAAACAAACAAGCAAATTATATTTATTTTGAAAATGAAATATTTTCGAATCCTCAAAATAAAATTTGAAAAACATGAATAAAAACCTATCAAATTTATATTTCTATCGCTTCCACATCTTTCCTATAATTGAACATTTGAAAAGCGAGTTATTCCATGAAGAAAGATTAGCTTCCTCAAACTTTCCCAGAAGGGTAGATTGATTAAATTGAATACGTGAGCATATTTAATAAAGAACAATTCCAAATTGTATGCATTCCCAATTTTCCTGTTGGGTGATTTTTAAAAACATAATTTGTCAAATTCATATTGACACCAGTATTACGTTGGAATCAAATCAGCTGGGATTTGCTGTTACCTTTTATAATTGTATCATAAAAAGGTAATCCTATAAACCATACCTTTTACAAAATTATGTGAAAATACCCTAATTATTGTAATTCTTTTTAATCGTTTTCAAGACAGCACCATAAAACAAACACTTCACGAAAATCATTTTTTTACTTAGAATATATTCTGGCTATTTGCTAACAAAGCTGACATGTTTTTTAGAAGACGTTTATTGTAAACATTTCCTTAGATCTTTCATATTAATAAATTACTAAATAAAAATATATTTAAATATTCAAAAAATAACGGTTCGAAGTTATGGTATTTATGCATGCGTTCTATTGTCGGATAAACGGCTGTAAATTATTCAATGGTTACCGACTACCCATTCGCTTTGTTATAGGATTTCAAAATAACCACTTATCAGAATTGTCGTCACCATGTGGCAACATTGGCCGTGACTTAACAAAGAAATAGCGCACAAGTTGTTTTGTTATTGTACAAAATAGAGACAATAGATAAATATAAATAAATAAAATTTTATAAAAAAAAATATTATAAATAGTTCTTATTACAAGTGCAACATCATTTAAAAAATAATAAAAAAATATAAATAAATTTCACAATGACATATCAAAGACGTAGTTAATAACAACGACGGCGTCTACATGGTGATTGTGTTTGATTTTCAGCGCCGTTAGTTATATGTGATTTTAAAAATAATGGAAACAACTATTGAATTGTGATAAATTTATTAAAAAGGGAAATAAGAGATAAATTAACAATTAAAATAAACATGAAATAGGAGTTAGTAATTTTAAATTTTATTTAATAAATGCAAAATTTTCACAACGTCTTTTGTGACATTACTGTTGCGGCTCATTTTGTCTTTGTTAACGTGACTGACTCCGGACTCTGGTCTGTATTCTATTCTTCTTTTTTTTTGCAAACGAAGAAATAATAATTCTCTTTGTGTGTGTGCGAATTAGTATTTTTCTTCTCATCACAAGGAAGTCACATCTCAGCTGGAAAAAAACAGTCCTTGTCTGTAATGAAAAAAGACATTCCAAGTTAATGTTGGACACTGCATTAAAAGGAAATTGTATGAAGTATAGAGCAAGGATAGAAAATTGGAATTGTCATCCCTTGGAGCTGGGTGAATTTTGAAAGTCATTGATTTGAAGTTGAAGTTTTCCAAACATACAGAACAACAGAAGTAGCTGTGGAAGAAGAAGCGGATCGTTTGCAAGTGGATATTTTTTATGTGAATACCCTAGTTGGGACCTCGCAGTATAAAGAGAGCATATTCTATACAAGACAAAATAGACTACACACACATACACTCATCCATCAAGCAACCAACCGACCAGCCAGCCATCCATCCAATTGTCTGAATTAGCGTAACATCATAACAATGTCGGAAAACAAAGAAGAAATATTAGCCAATTTTCAGGTTCGCCTAATAAACAAAAACAACAACACACAATAATATGAACAAATTACTAATTGGCTAATCACATAAAAACAATGCAATTTAATTACAGAGCATAACGGGAATCGATGATGTTGGGGAAGCATTTTCTCATTTGGAAGAATGTAATTGGGATTTGATGGTGAGTTCAATGAGAAGCTTTTTTTATAAATTTAGTTACACTTCATGGATGACATATTGATATGCTGTAAAGGTAAATGATTTTTTGGGTCCATGAATTGTCACTAAATGCCCACTGATTTAATTGCTGTTATTAATGTTGGGGTTTTGTTATTATAGGCCGCCATTCAACGTGTTATACCTCAAGAGGATCCAACACCACAGGCTGCTGCCGCTGCATCAGCAACACCACCATTACGATCGGAAAATAATTTATCTTCAATACGCAATGCCACAAGTAGTTCAACATCAGCATTAAATGACTTTAGTTTGGCCCCCGGTCCATCAAAAAATTGCCCGCGTTGGCTTAAGAATGCTTCGGCCAACAATTTGGGAAGCTCAGCTGCAGAAAGTGCATTTGTGCCAGGTGAGTAATAATGAGATAATATTGGAAATATGCACTTGAAGAATATTTATTTTTGTATTAGTCAGTGGGAAGTATGAAACTACATACCTATATTAGCCTTTAGTAGAACTATGTTTGAGCACAAAGGAAGATGTAAATTGTTTAACCAACATTCTATGCTTATTAAAGATTTGTGGTTTTAAGATACCCTTATATATTCCTAGTCCTTTTTCAAACTATAAAAACTTTAGGGTATTTCCTCTACAAAATTTTAAATTACTTATGATATCGTCACATATATGACAGCTGTACTCAAAAGGAAATAATAAAGTTAATGCAATACCCTTCAAAATTATTTTGCATAGAATTGAAATGTTGTTGTTCATTAAAATTCATTGACTTTTTGTTTAACAAAGCGAAGCAAAACATCCTGCAACAAAGAAAAATATTAAAACATTACACCATTTATTTTTGTGAGTTAGGTGTCCTGTAACTATTCGGTTAATTAGATTAACAAATCAAAACTATAATAATATATTGGGATGATTCATTTTTCTGAGTCATAGTAGAATTCAATTACAAACAACGAATATCGGATAGTTCGCCATTAAATTTATAAATATGAATAATTTTCAGAAAAAGAACACCCTACAAAACAAAAAATGTTCAGAAAAATAAATACACAATATCAATTTACTCCATTTCAATGTGAAAAATATATAACTATGAAAAACGTGTTCTTTTAGAAATGAGATAAAGAAAATCATAAGACTTATGTAGAAGTCATAGATAATATTGATAAGACTATTGTCTCAAAAGTATCTGTTCCACATTACAAGGTGAGCACAAAAATGTTATTCCAGTAAAATCTTAATTATGGCTTAATCTTGACCCGACAAATGTAGTATTCTGGAATCGAAGTACATGTCTTATTGACAACAGACTGAAATTTTTACGATTTTGTGACATCAATTAAATTAAACAATTCAAAAAGTGGCAGTCCTTGTTGCCGACAGATATATACCCTCAGTCCATGGTTTGCGGATGACTACGGAATAAAACACAGGTTTTATTATTCGGGGAGGTACCAGAAAAGGTTGTCTAATAGACCCCATCTTAGGATTTAATGGTTTGGAAAAATGTTACGATTTAAAAACTTGGAGGAGGTACCATAGGAAGTGGATCGACGGGTCCCATATTCATAATCTTGTTAAAGTAAACAAAGTACGATACGCAAAGTTTCGATGAAAGTATAAATTACGTTTGCTTCATATGAGATGTACAAAAAATTCAAAAATTTGACCCTTTGTGGGGTATCTACACAATGTTTAGTTCAAATCGAAATGTCCGTTTAAGTAATTTTTTAAAATAAAATTTCAGCAAAATGTTAACAATTTTGTGGGGGAGGTGCCAGAGGGTTTGCACTGATATCATCTATCTTCGAACTTGATCTAAATTTGGAATAAATATTACGATGTGCAAATTTTGAATGGAACTGGTTACTCCCTTCGAGAGTTAACTTGCGCACCGCACCAGCTCTTATTTTTCTAAAACGGATTTGTTCCAAAGAAACATGGTGTCAAAAACCAATACTTTAATGAGACACATTTTTATCGTATCAAAGCTTTAACCATAATGCTGAAATCGATAGTGAGTGGGTGGAAGAACCTTCCAGATACGAAAAAAATAATTCAAGTATTTTAATACAAAGCCCATTCATGTTTCTTTTAATCTATTATCTATCCATCCATTTTTTATATCGGAAGAAATGCCTATCCCGCTAAGATCCATTTTTGCTCAGTCTTTTTATAACCTTCACCACTCTGTGGTACAGGGTATTATGTCTTTGTGCATATGTTTGTAACAGGCAAAAGGAAACCAAATAGACACATAGTTCCTTTTTAGAATATGCTTAGAAACCCTTTCTGAGTCGATTTATGCATGTCCGTCAGTCTCTCTGTCCATGTTAAATTGTAAAAAAGTACAGGTCGAACTTTATGATTCGAATTGGATGAAATTTGGCACAGCTTATTTATTTTGCCCAAGGACAAACCTTATTGAAATTGGGAAAATCGGTTCAGATTTACATTGCTCCCATATATAGTTTGGTCCGATTTTAAGTAAATGCTGCACCAAAGACCCAAAGTTGGGCTAATTGCGACAAAAATTTGCTCAACGTATTGAAGTTGCTAGAGCATAACGTAGGTCAAGTTTCGTTGAAATCGATTCGGATTTTGATATGGCTTCCATAAATATTTTCGTCCGATGCCAAGTAAATGGTGCACCTAACTCCCCTTCATCAGCATAGAATGTCGCAATTGCGTTTTGTAGAAATGAAGACATAGCCCATATATATTTTCGACCGATTTCGACCCATTGTAAATAAACGACTATATATGTCCAAATGAAATATTTAGTATAGGTGGCAGACTGGCATGTCTATGGATTGATCAGTTCACAATTAGATAAAAATTACATATTTTAGTTCATCCAATTTCATGTTCATGGTCCTTCAAATATATTACGTCTATTAGGATATATTTGTAGAGTATAGCCATGGCGAAGGGTATCATGTAGTCGGTCCCTTTCCTTACTGGTTTAGATTGTTATACCTATATTGCAAGTTGTAATATTAAATACCTGTTTCAGAATGAATGAATTCAAGTAAACTAAACCAATTCATGTTTATTTAATCCATAATCTATCCATTCATGTTCTATATCGGAAGATATAACTTTCCGTTTCCGTTTGAGGTTGGATCGGATGTTTTGGATAAATGTGTAGCAGATTATTTTTGGAAACTACCGATTTATTTAGGTGATTATGTTTGAAACCACACTGCTTACTTTATAGAAAGTAACCACAGTTCATATTTTTGAAAAAATTATATCTATTATCGAAATTTGAAATATGAACATTAGCAAGCAACTGAATCTAAATTAGGCACTTTATGGTGGAAATTTCTATATTCCGCAGATGGAAGAAATGTTATTCGTGTCGATGGTGGTTTGACTGGTTTATGTGCTTCAATTATCCTTAAAATTACCACCATTAACTTTATTTTTCAAGATGAGTTTGTAGAAGTACTAAATGAAATTATATTGACGGTATCCTCTGAGTTTTTATTTTACCTTTTTTTTCTCAACAAAACGAGCTCTCACCCATATCGAATTTTAAGCCTTTTTCCTTAATTCAATAATAAAAATACATATGATTTCCCTTTTCAGTTGCCTCAACATCTGCTGATCCCGATATTATCGATCTCACATCCGATATGGATTTGGCTGAAAATCGTGCATCGACAGCATTCTCATCATCATCGACATCGGCAAAGCAAATTTTATTCAATATACATTTTGATCAACAAATCTATGATATACGACTGCCCTCCAGTGCCACCATAGGTAACAAAACCTTAATTTTTGTCTATTTAAATTAATTTTTATTTGTGTGTTTACAGAACAATTGAAAAAGAAAGTTCATGATGCAACTGGAGTACCAATATGTCGTCAAGCAATACGCGGCTGGCCGCCTGCTAAATTACATGATGCTCAAATACCAACAACAAAATTATCCACCTTAGGTTTATCGCCTGAGAATGAGTTGATCTTAATTGATTTAACCGAAGAGGGATATATGGATTTCGAAAAGTAAGAATTTAACATATTTTATCTTATGTCAAATGATTAGCTATTGCAGAAATACTTGGGGTTAATTTAAATATTAAGATTGAAATCTTCTATAAAAAAGAGTAGCTTGACTAGAGGATGAAATTGTTGCCGCATGACCTATGGGGTATATGCTCGAGCACATAAATGAATATTCAATACAAAATAATGTGCGCAAATTCAAAGAGACGCTTAAACCACATTGTTAGCTTTCCGTACTTCCTTTGTATTGTATATTTTTTTAAGAGTTCGGCTTTTGCTTAGATGAAATTTATATCAAAATGAAAATATATGAAATGTATTCCAAAAATATAATATTATTAACAGTTTCTTTTTTATATTTTCATATAATTTTTTTTTTATATTCATTACAGCGATGAAGTATCCAGTCGTTTGGAGAAAAATTTTGTACTTACAATTGTTCAACAACCAAGTGGCATACGAAACGAATTGAGTTTTTCGGGTAGGACAACAGTGCAAGAGGTGAAAACAAATGTTTATTATGTCACAGATATACCAGTTAGACATCAGGAATGGACTGGTTGGCCACATGGTTGTGATAATGATACAACATTGGCGGTAGGCAAAAATCAACTTCAAAATAAGACAATATTTTACCGAAATATTTTTTTTCTAATTTTTAGCAATCTGGCATACAATTGGCTCATAATTTTATTCTACATAATGCTGCGGATAAAATGCGCAATAATGCTAATAATTCATCTTCCACCACAAGAAGTTCCAAGTGAGTTTTATTAATTGATTGCAATATGAACATTTTAATTGTATTTTTTTTATTTATCCTTTTAACAGTGCCGTTGGACTCGATACAGACAGTTCGGCTGATGAATTTGAGGATGCATCAGATTTTAATGCCAGTGAAGAATTCTTCACCGATCCATTACCAGTACAACCAACAACAAGACATTTAAGTAAGTACAGTAAAATCTCGATAAGCCGGATTACCCGGTAATTGAGATAGCATTTCAAAATTTTACTAAAACTATTTAAATGATCATTAAATGAATAAAGATTTAATACAATTTAAAGACCTTTGTAATCCCGATAATTTGGCAATCCGGTTTGAGGCCTTTAATCAATTTTCCGGATTATTTTAATTCATTTTTTTTTCTTTTAGTTCCCAATAACACAGATAGCGAAATTACTGGATCCCTTAAGTTCATTGAAAACTATAAACAACGATTTGGTGAACCATGTCCCATGTTCTTTCCCGGCAGTCTGGAGGATGCTCTTAAAGAGGCCTGTCACAAACCAGCCAGAGAGGTAGTCATTCATTCAATACTATTGGTTATATGTGTTCTTTACGAAATTTCCTTTTTATACATTGCAGCGTAAATTATTGGCAATTTATTTACATCATGGCGAAAGTATTCTAACAAATGTCTTTTGTGATCGTCTTATGAAACATGAAAATATTCTACAGCAATTTGCCGAACATTTTATTCTATATGGCTGGGATTTAACATATGAAAGTAATAAACATTTGTAAGTAATCTCAAAAAATCTACCAGTTCGTTCAGTACCCCAAAAAATGGTTATATTCTTCATCCCCTTAGATTCTTATCATCGGTTACCGCATGCATTAGCAATACAGCCTCAATTACGGTACGCAATATATCCGTAGATAAATTGCCATCAATATTGGTAATTGGTAAAAGTCGTTTATCGGGTCGCTCCTCATGTGAAGTTTTATCTGTGATTCATGGTATGGTTCCGGGATATATATTATATGTCTCCCTATGTGTTTTTGATTTTTTGTATATATATTTTTTTTATTTTCTAGGCAATGTTGATTTGGATGATCTTCTATCACGCCTCTGGGAATCCGTTGACATGTACAATGATCATTTGAAAGTTGAAATTGCCGAAGAAGATGCTCGTGCGGCCCGTGATCAAGTTAAGGCCGAACAAGATATGGCCTATGAACAGACACTACAAGCAGATATTGCCAAAGAAGCTGCTAGACGGCAAAAAGAGGCAGCCATTGCAGCGGAACGTCAACGTTTAGAATCGGAAAAGGCAGAAGAAGCGGCCAGACGAGAATCGATTAGAATTGTGGTATGTAGATATGTTGTTACTTTTCGATTTCTTCATAAATTTTATTATGTATATAATATGGAAATATCTTCGACATGTTATTTAGATAATTATTTATTCCCAAAAATTCTGTCATCTATTGTAGATAAACCACTTCTCAAAAAAACTTGGGTAGATTATTAAATTTATACACTACAGAACTTTTACATATCATTTACCTTAACGAGTTAATATGAGTTACAGCATCTATCTGCTATATATAACATAGATAAATTTATTTATCTGTGGACTATATTATATATCATCTATAGATAACTGGGATAAATTATTTAATTTAAATTCGTTACCTACCTTATCTAGATAACGTGGATAAAACTTATTCATCGCGTTTAGATAATCTAGAAGCAATACACCAACGTTTGATAATAGATTGAGAGGTGAAGTCATCGACATAACCCTTACTAATATGGACGACTCTGGGGTTAGGAACTGGGAAATATCTGAGAAATACTCCTTTTCGGACCATAGTGTGATATTTTTCTAGATTCCCACCTCCAGAGGAAAACAAAAGCCTTATAGGAATCCTCGGAAGACAAATTGGTACAAACTCAAAGACAAAACAGCATCCTTAATCCTAGGTCATAAAGATTTAATAACGGCTGAGGATGTCGAGGAAGCTGTGAAAAATGTTACGGGCTCTATTTTGAAGAGCTATAAGGTTTCATGTTCTTTAACATACCCTGGGAAGAGATCTCAGCCACTATGGTGGTCACAAAACCTTGAATCCTTAAGGAAGTCTGCAAGGAAAACATACAATAGAGCTAGTAAGATAAAACTCCGTACAGTTTCGGACGTTCAATAGGTACAAGAGTGAAATCAACAAGGCTAAACGTGAGTCCTGGGTCTGCTATAGTTAATCAATCGAAGAAGTTAACGAAACGGCCAGATTTCGCAGAATACTATCTAAAGACCCAAAATCTATAGGTAGCATGAAGCGAAGTGGTGGGAAGGCCTCATGTCCTTTAACATACCCTGGGAAGAGGTCTCAGCCACTATAATAGAGCTAGTAAGAGAAAACTCCGTACAGTTTGGGACGTTTATAGAGAACAGTTCAATAGGTACAAGAGTGAAATCAAGAAGGCTAAACGTGGGTCCTGGGTCTGCTATACTTAATAAATCGAAGGAGTTAAGGAAGCGGCCAGATCTTGCAGAGTACTATCTAAAGATCGAAAGTCTATAGGTAGCATTAAGCGAAGGGACGGGAAGGTCTTAAGGAAGAGGTCTTAGACACTATGGTGGTCACAAAACCTTGCATCCTTGAGAAAGTCTGCAAGGAAAGCATATAATAGAGCTAGTAAGACAAAACTCCGTACAGTTTGGGACGTTTATAGAGAACAGTTCAATAAGTACAAGAGTGAAATCAAGAAGTCTAAACGTGAGTCTTGGGTCTGCTGTAGCAAAGGAGTTAAGGAAGCGGCCACATTTCGGAAGCGGCCACATTCCAAAGTCTAAGTGACGGGATGTGGACAAACTCTGGTAGTGAGACTCTTGATCTTCTATCATTAACCCACTTCCCTGGTTGTAGGAACCATAATGATGATGTGCAGTGTACGCATCGGCTTATGATTCGAACCAGGAAGGAGGAGAAGCTGACCAAAACTGGTATAGACGATAAATAGTTTTCTACATTATCCAGAAGACGGATATTATATCGAGATTATCTAGATAACTTTGATGCATTATACAACACATTAAGGTAAAGTGAAGACATAAACCCCATTTGACTTGTTAAGATAACGTGGATACATAGACAATGAAAATATATTATCTAGATAACATCGATAAATGATCCATTTTATTGCGATTGTTTTCCATCTTAAATAGATAACTGGGATCCTAATTATGAAAGTAAAGATAATTGTATTGTGTAGATAAATAATATCGTTTAGATAACGTGGATAAATTATCTACCTTACCTATATTCCCTTATATAACCTATTTTGAAAATTTAGACACACTATCTATATAACTTCATTCTATCTAAAAAAAATTCTATCTCTCCCTCTCTCATTTCAGGCTGAACAATCATTACCCAAAGAACCAACTGAAACAGAGACCAATATTTCCAAAATTCGTGTACGCAAACCGACTGGGGACTTTTTGGAACGTCGTTTCTATACTGAAAATACATTACAGGTAAGCAATATTGATTTCGTATAAAAAAACAGATCTCAGATAAAACCCAATTATCTCTTTCTCTCTCTTCTCCTAGGACCTTCTAAATTTTGTCGCATCAAAGGGTTTTCTTATCGATGAATACAAAGTGATTTCCAGTTGGCCAAGACGTGACCTCACGGCCATCGATAGCAGTCAGACATTGCAATCGTTAAAATTATATCCTCAAGAGACAGTTATCTTGGAAGAACGATGATTTTAAACTCATATATACATACATATACACCTATAACATAACATAAATCGAAGTAAAAAAAAACATACAAATAAATTATTAAGCCTCCTATAAAAAATACAGAAGAAGAGAAAAAACAAAAACAAATATTAGCAGCAAAACACCTTTTTACTTTACTTATTTTTGTTAAAAAAGAAGTAGCTGAAGAAGAAGAAGAAGAAAAAAGCATGATCTTCACTCATTCCCACGTGCCCCCCATTATCCTTCTATTATAGGCTTTATTATTTTTGTGTATATTATTTTGTTTTTTTTTTTCATCATTGTAGATCCATTGTTTTTTTCTGTTGAATCTTCTCTGCAAAACCATCAAACATTATTGTCAATACACTTTATTTGTAGTGTTTGCGTTTTCAATATTATTTCTAATCAAATAATTTATGATATTAGAACGGCTTATGCAACAATATGTCCCCCTTCCCTTCGAACATCATATTAGCTATTATCATCAATGTCATCCAAAAACACCATTTGATAAAAAAAAATTAAAAGTAAATAAAACCAAAAGAAAACTACAAAATTCAAATAAAAAAGATTGATAATTTAAATAAATTATATTCATATTTCGAAATATTCAGAATGAACAATTTTAAAGGAAAGGTTAAATGATGATGGATGGTTTGAAAGACTGAATTTACAAATAGAAACGAAGGGAATTAAAGAGTTCATGGTAAAACTGATATATGGGTTATGTTTATGTGTTAGATCCCGAATATTGTCCCAAAATTAATCAATTTCCACAAGAACCCAGAGTCGCGTTGACATTGCTAAATAGATGTTTTTTATTTGTTGTTATAGGGAAAAATAGGGTTTTTATAGAAAAATTTTGTTTTTTCTATAGGAAAAATTGGATTTTTTCTAAAGAAGAAAAAAGTGAAAATAAGTCTTATAATAAAAAAAAAATATTTATACAAGTGAATTATAAGGGGAAATGTGACGAAAAATATGATTTTTTCCTATAGAGTGAAATATGATATTTTTCTATAGAAAAAATATGATTTTTTATAGGATTTTTTTTTTTTTTTTTGTAAAATATAAATTAAAATTACCTTTCTATAGGAAAAACATATGTAAAAAACAGTTTTTCTTCTATAGAGAAAAATCCATTTTTCCTATAGGAAACATATATGTTTTTTATGAAGAAAAAAAAACAATGTAAGATTTTTTCTATAGGACAAAGCATGTGATTTTTTTAAAGGAAATTGTTTTACAGGAAAAAAATTATTTCTTTCTATCGAAATATATGTTTTTTCTATAGAAAAAAATTGAGGTATTTTCTATAGAAAAAGGATTATAGATTTTTTTATGGGAAAAGTATTTGATTTTTGTTTTTTCTATAGAAAAAATAGTTCTATTAGGAGCCATTCAAGTATTACGTAAGCAGATTTATTGCAATTATTTACATTAGGAAAAAATGTATGTTTTTTTCTATAGAAAAACTTTGTGATTTTTTTTCCTTGGGAAAACATTCAAAAAAAATTCTTTGCTTTAGGGAAACAATTATGATTTGTTTCAATTAAAAAAACATAATTTCTTCTATAGGAAATAATAGTTGTTTTTTTTTTAAAAAATAGACGATTTTTTCTAAAGAAATAATTGTAATTTTTTCTATAGAAAAAATATTTTTCTATAGAAAGAAATATTTTTTCTATGGGAAAAAATGGGTAAAACTTTCTATTGAAAAAATGTGTGATTCTTTTCCTACAGGAAAAACATTTGATTTTTTTCTATGAGAAAATATATGATATTTCCATAGGAACGGAAATTACAATTCTTAATTTTATTCTATAAAAAATTTTATTTTATAAAAAATTTATGATTTTTTTCTATAGAAACAATTTCCAGACCCTAGCCTCAGCATCCACATACTCCAGCCACAGCATTCACAGAATCTAGCCTCAGAATTCACTGACTCTAGTTGAAGCGTTCACAAACTTCGGCTGCAGCCTTAAGAGACTCTAGCCTCAGCATTCACAGACTCTAACTTCACAATTCGCATGCTCTAGCCTCTGCATTCACAGATTCCAGCCTTAGCATTCACAGACTCTAGTCTCAGCATTCATAGACTCCTGGGGGGTTACTCTGTATTGCGTTGCGAAAGCCAGTGCGATGCGAAAGCTAAATGCGTTAAGAGTGTAATTTGATACTCTGTTTCGCTCACGCAAACGCATTCGCAAAATAAATCGAAAATAGGGCAACACTGGCATAACAAAGTAAACAATAACGAAGAATGACAAAAGGAAACGTTAAAAAATTGTAAATAAAAACATATTTTTATGTGGTATGAGTGATTTTTTAACAAAAATGATGAACCAACTAAAAAAAATTAAGAGATCGATCAAATATACTCTACCTAAGTGAACACGGGTATGAAAATAGAAGTACGAATAATGTGACAAAAGTTTTCAAATATTTAATTTTTATAAATTTGTACAAAATGTTCGTCTTAATAAAGATGCGTTTATGTTTTTAATAAACGCTATTAAAAATGACTTCGTCGTTCCAAATAGATCCACTGCAATTCCAACTCCAATAAAAATGGCCGCTGCTTTGAAATTGCTTGGACAAGGTGGTTATCAACACCAACCTGTAAATATGCACACATAGTTTCACATTTTATATATAAAATATAAAACATTACTTTTTTCCAACCAGCGACATCTCTTACAGGAGGTCCATCTGAATTAAGGTCATCATCCAGTTTTCTCTACAAATTTTTGGCGCGTCGTTTCGCATTTGAACTCTGCAACTGGCCGCTTGCCAAATCGCTGTGTTGCACCATAAAATCTACTAAAGTTTGGAACTAACGGTGCTGAGTCGTCAACTGTAAATTTTTCGGTTTTCACCCAAAATAATTATCAATTTACATATAAAGAAAAAATTTAATGGTGCTTACTTACATGTTTCGCTTCATTTGCGTTTGCTATTTTGTTAACGCAAGATATTTGCGTTTAACGAACGAGTTTGACATGCGTTTTCGTATTACAGATTGCGGTGATGCAACATTTGCGTAAGGTAGATGCGAAAGGAGATACGAAAACGAATTAGAGAGTACCAATTACGCGATGCGATACAATTTTTCTTACGCATCGCAATACAGAGTAACCCCCCTGCTTCAGCATTCAAATACTCTAGCCTTAGCATTCACAGACTCCTTCTTCAGCATTCGAAGACTCTAGCATCAGACTTCACCGACTCTAGAATTAGCACTCACAGACTCTAGCCTCAGCATTCACAAACTCTAGCCTCTGCATTCACAAACCATAGTTTCAGCATTCGGAGACTCTAGCCTCAGTACGCAAAGACTGTAGCTTCAGTATTCACAGACTCTAGCCTCAGTACGCAAAGACTCTAACATCAGCATTCACAAACGAACCCTTAGCATTCACCGACTCTAGCCTCAGCATTCACAGACTTCTGCCTCAGGACACATAGTCTCCTGCGTCAGCATTACATATTCTAACCTCAGCATTCACAGTCTCCTGCGTCAGCATTCACATATTCTAACCTCAGCATTCACAGTCTCTAGACTCAGCATTCACCGATTCTAGCCTCAGCATTCACAGACTCTAGCCTCAGCATTCACTCTTGCCTCAGAATTCACAGGCTCCAGCTTAGCATTCACAGACTCTAGCCTCAGCACCCACAGACTCTAGTCTTAACATCACAGACTCCAGTATCAGTATTCACAGACTCCTAGCCTCAGTATTCACAGACTACAGTCTCGGCATTTACAGACTCAAGCCTCAGTATTCACAGACACTAGCCTCAGCATTCACAGACTCCTGCCTCAGGATACATAGTCTTCTGCGTCAGCATTACATATTCTAACCTCAGCATTCACCGACTCTAGTCTCAGTATTCACAGACTTTAGCCTCAGCAATCACAGACTCTAGCCTCAGCATTCATAGACTCTAGTCTCACTTTTTACTGACTCAAGCCTCGGCATTCACAAACTCCTGCCTCAGTATTCACCGATTTTATCCTCAGCATTCACCGACTCTAGACTCAGCATTCACAGACTCTAACCTCATCATTCACAGAATACTGCCTCTGCATTCGCCGACTATAGTATCGGTATTCACTGACTCTAGTCTAAGCGTTCACAGACTCTGGCCTCTTCATTCTCCGACTATAGGCTCAGCGATTGTTAATTTATAATTTGAACACTCAGGGATCGTAGACTTGAGCCTCAAAGTTCACGGAATCTGGCCTTAGCGATCACTGACTTTAACCTCAGTATTCACATGTTCAGGGTTCAAAGACCCTAGCGTCAGCATTCGCAGATCGCAGTCCCAGTTCTTCTCATTTAGTGTAGCTTCAGGGTTCATATACCCTGTCATTTATTCTAGCCTCAGTGTGTGGCACTTAATTATTTTATAATTTGATCACATGTCTAAATATTATTCAGCTTTCCACTAATTAGATACTGCAATGTTAATCTGCTCTTCCTATTCTTTAGGAAAAATGTGTGATTTTTTCTACAGGAAATATGTAATATTTTTCTATAGGAAAAAAGTAATTTTTTTCTATCGGAAAAATGAATTTTATTTTTATAAGAAAACAATATATTTTCTTCTATAGAAAAAATGGGTTATTTTCATAGGAAAAATGTGTACTTTTTATAAGAAAAATAATTTTGGTTATTTCTATACTAAAATAATGTGTGATTTTTTTATAAGAAAAATATGTCTGATTTTTATGCTACAGGAAACATATGTGTGATATTTTTCTGTAACAAAAATATTTTTCATTTCTTATAGAACAAACAATTTTTTTCTATAGGAAAAAAATATGATTTTTCATCTCCATAACAAAAAATTAGGTTTTTGAACGTATTTTTTCTATAGAAGTAATATAACTTGTTTTCTATTCCAAAAAAAATTTAATTTGTTTCTATTCCTTTAAAAAAAAATAAAATTTGTTTTCTATCGAAAACAATATTTTTTCCTATTGAAAAAAAATTTTATTTTTCTCTAC